AAGAATCTTCAGACCCTCTATCATATACAAGAATCTTCAGACACACTATCATATACAAGAACCTTCAGACCCACTATCATATATAAGTTTCTTCAGACCCACTATCATATACAAGTGGTCACCTTTACTTGTTTGTTATTTTTCAATACAAACCATCATCTCAAAACAAAAAGGTGATATTGACTTTGGTTCTAAGGTATTTGATTTGCAAACATGGACACTATTCAGGTCAGGCAGCCCTGATTGTTGATTATTGTTATGAGATCCAGTACCTTAGTTGGCAACCAAATTGATTTATCATCTATTAAATGATAAACAACTTAACCAATCAAATGTGTCTAACCTTCAAGACTTCTGTATTGTCTTTAACCTGTAGAAGAATGCAAATAAAGTGAGTGGAAAACATAAGCCTCAGACCCCAATATCCCTGTTAAAAACCCAAGATTGACATACATTTGTAGCAAGGTTTTCTTTAGCATTGCTGAGTTTTTGTAGCACATCTAAACCAGGGTGGGACTTTCCTTGTTCCTCATCAAAATATGTAGCACAAAACTTGATGGCTGTAAAAGATATCAAAACAATATTACTAACACAGTGAAAGGTTTGAAAATAGTGAGTAGATAATTAAATTTGTAGATAGTACATATGACTGACCTTGCTCCTTGATCCACGTTCGTATCTTTTCTTTATTGTCAGACATACGTGATGTACTGAGAGCATGAAGTGTGGTGTTCAAACTATTGACATCAACCTAACAAATATTGAAAGAAGGTTTTTACCTAAAATATAATAGCCTAATAACATTATAGCTCATAAAAATAAGAATAATAAAAAGTGAAATAATAAGATACAAGAAATACCGCCTGGTGACTTTCAGGATGAATTTGAAAATTTTATAACTGTTCATTTTTTTGAAAAACAAAAGTCAAAAGGTATCAAAGTTGTTAAAGAATTTGATTATCTAAAGTTAAACATACCCTAGGTAATCCATCTGATGACGACAACAATGATGATGTTGATGCCTTAGCATTCCATCTTGCTGATGTCAGTGATGAGAAGAAAGATGGTTTGCTGTGGTGTGATAGAGATGAGGTAGTAGGGAGATTCACTGATTTGGTCAGATGTGTTACTTCAGTCTGTTTCTTAAGGTCTGGTTCCATTACACTCTGGCATTTCTCTTTGCTCCTTGGGTTTCTTTTGGATCTCCGTTTTCCTCTGAGCACTTCACCAAGCCTATTTCCCAACAAATTTGGTCCATTGATAACCATTAACCATTAATTGAAGGGTACCCTAATGCTTCTATATTAAACAATTATTGTTTAACACAGAGAGATTTATGACATTTATCATGACTATTTTTCCATCCAACAAGGGTTAACTTATAGTACTTACATGTGTGGAAAAAATACCCCTTGCAGTGAGGTTGCACACATGCATAGCATCTGACTGCTGGATAACCAGTCCAGGAATGAAAAAGCAAGGCTCCAGAAGAGATCTAGCACCTTCTTACTGGCTTTTACATTAACCACATAAAAACCTAGCTTGATCACTGTGGATGCATAGCATTGATAACATTTTCCACCAGGAAAAAATATATTACCTTGAAGGTGGGGATGGTGGTTTTTCAAAGACTTGTATAGGATGAGTGCAATGAGTTGAGTAAGGTTCACCAGCCACAACAGGAGCTGCTGCAGAACACCTCTTCACTTCTTTCCCCTGTGATGAAGAGTTTTCCAGGACAGAACCACTTGCTAGTGACTTGGCCTTGTGCATGACACCTTCTCGGCGGAACGAGATATGGAATACATCAGGTAACTTTTGCATCAAGATCTCAGCCAATTGCAGGGCATTAACAAGTGTCCTAATGTCATGTGACTGCAGCATTCCACCAATAATACTTGATATTGGATGTCTTTTAAGAATAACCTGCAGTAGTTCTGCCGGTGCATAATATATCATCCTTAGAATGGCATTAACACATCTATTCCTAATAGCAATACTGACAGAAGAATTCAATATGCTATATAGACAAGAAAAAAGCTTGTATGTGTAGGAATCTTCCAGCAAGCTGTCTTCTTGTAGAATAGCTATTCTACTGTCTACTTTGACAGATTCTGCTTTGCTTGATAAAGTTGAGCTGGATTCTCCTGATCCATTGCACCTTTGAACTGGTCTAGTTGTCCCTGTATCCTCATTGATCTACAATACAATAAAAACCCTGATTAAATTACATGCTAGCAAGGCTCTGTTAATCTTTACCACTCTAAAGCCAACCTCCTTCCCAGGGCCCTCTCACGCAGAGGAGAGAAGACCCTGGCGTTGGCTGGTCAAATAAAGCTTTTGATTGGTTTACTTGATCCTGAATTTTGATTGGTTGTTGCTTTGTTAAGACTTTTTGGCGCTCCATGGCACGCCTGAGCAAGAAATATAATGGCAGATTGAAACAAGATGTAGGCAAGACTTGAAGTAATAATACGAAAACAGCAGCTACGGCCGCTACAAATCTCAGAAAAGCTTGTTATTCAAATTTGTTATCTAAATGTAATCTTGTAAGTCCAAAAGTGATGGAGGGAGGAGAAACGCCAAAGAAGGTTTACTACTGACAGGAAGAAAAAAGATCATCATCCATATCTGTTTGTGGTCTGTTAAAATCTCAACTGGTTTATTCGAGTTGACAGCCATATTAATTTTTTTTAAATATATGCTAATTCAATGTGCCCACAATTCCTCCAGTTTTTCCTTCAGGGGTATTTTCAAAACACCCCAATATGCTGGGTGTCGGATTTGTCATGTGACTAGCCAACGCCAGGGTCTTCTCTCCTCCATGTGAGAGGGCCCTGGGAACAAGGTTGCTCTAAAGCTAGGGTTTGACTGTCTGTGTTAAAGCCCACCCACCCACCCACCAGCTGCATGGCATTCAAGTCAATAGTATAGGTGCGCCTAATGGTAGCAAGGCTCAGTAACAGCTATTCCAAAAAAAGAGTTTTGAAGGGTGTGTTGCATGTTGCATGTTGCTCACTAAGCTTGAAATGTAATACACATTATCATGTATACTAAATAATGTCAACACTGTCAGAAGAAAATATACCAGAAGAACATGTAGACAAAGTTTCAAATTTCAAATTGTTATAACCTTTTGCTGATTGTATTTATGTCTCCCCTGATGCAGTGCAGGCTTGGTATGCAACATGCAACAAAAGCTTCATCAACCTTAGAAATAGCTGCAGTCTTCACCACTGTGATAAGAGTTAGGTTAGGACTTTCTGTCCATCCACCCCCTACCCATCCACTCACCTGCTGCATGGCATTCAAGTCAATAGTATATGTGCGTCCCATGGTAGCAAGGCTTAGCTCGTCTTCACCACTATGGTAAGCTGCTTCAATTATTTTACTGTCAATCCAGGAATAAGAGTGCCAGACCCCCCTGTCATCACGCCATTGCCATAAACCATGCTCTGATCTCTGCTGACTTTTGTTGAGCAGGGCATCGACAGAAAATACACCTAAAAAGAGTAGATCATAAGATGAGGGTATACACTCTGTTAATTTAAAAATGCGTTCATACCGTTAACTAACGTCTGGGCTGATCAAAGTCAGGGCTCTACTAACTCATAGATCAAATTGGGATTAAATGTGTTAGGGTATGTGGCAGAAAACTAGTGAAAATACCTCAAATCAAGGAAGAGACCTGCTCACTCTGCCCACATGAGAATTGAAAGTTCTCAAAACTCCAGGGACAGAGGCGAGTGCACTTGGTTCTCTAATTGATTTCTTCCTTGGTCAATGACCCAACCCATGTTAGGGGAATAAACACATAATGGTGATAATGATGATTTCACAAGTCATGTTACAGGAGTAGGTACACATGTGGATATGGTGTACATTGTGCATGTACGATACTAACCAGTTTGTGGAAGTTTAGGAAACAGCTCACTGAAAAATAATAATATCAAAGCATAATACACATCAGAATCCTTTTAGAAAAAGAAAATCAGAACTGTTAGCATTAGCTGTATATGTGTATATTCCTTTTCAAACAAACCTTATGGAGCAGGTTAATTCAAAGAATTCCTGTGGACTTCTAGTGATGAGCTGGAAAACAAATATGGCTACATTACAAAAAGATTATATGATGGACTGGAAAAAAACAGTTCAAGTTTATGAAGAAGTAAATAAAGATTTATAGAGTTTGTGTAACTGAAAACAGTTAGGGATGTTGCAAATTTGACAATCTGATCATCACATTGCTGAAATGAATGCATTTTGATGGATCAATCATTTTCTCTATCCACAAAAATCAATTTCCAAATTCCAATTGGAATTTCAATGGACAAAGAACTTCTCTGTGTAAAAGCCACTTACTAATTAATCCTAGAGTGTTTCACTTACTTCAACATTATCCTCTATGTCTTGGTCAACACTACCAAACAACAGAAACTGTAAAGTCTCCACAATATCTAGAAAACATAAAGATTATTATAATTATTAAATAATTACTTTCAATGGATAAACCAGGAATATAGACTGCATTAAAAATCAACAAGGTATACTTACTGTTCTTAATAAGATCAACCGCAAGGTCTGGGCAGTTGGAACAGAGTAATGATAGCATCCTTAAAACCATTACGAACGTACCAGTACTTATAATGGGTGGGAATACTATCAACTGTATCATGAAAAAATGACATGATTACTGCATTGTTCATCAATTAAATTAGCGCTCTAATATACATATAATTATTAAGAAATGGAAAGCCATAATTTAACTTTCATCAATTGATTTGTCAAACACACAGGGTGTGATTGGTCAGTCTTGGGCTCATGCTAAGCTTTCAAAGCCAGACAAAGATACTCACCAACTGTTGTATGTTGTTCAGTAAACCATGAGCTGAAAGATCTTTTAAGTGTTTCTGAGGAAGAATAAAATTATGTTGGTAATTAACAAAATAAAGCATGGACGGTATAATGGTGTGGCAAATGGTTGAGGAGGAGGTAGTACTGGGTTAAAGCATGAGACATTGATAGGGGAGTCAGGATAGAGTGGTGGTTGAAGCTCAGCATCACCTCTGCAGTCCAGGGTTTGATTTCTGGTCGCCCCATGTTAGCTGAGTTGGTTCTTTTTCTGTCTATGAGCCAGGGTTTTTCCTTCCTGCTCTCAGATCAACCCTAACTAATTCAAACTGCTTAAAGCTCACAGTTTGACCCCCATTTAACTGCTGTGCAGAGGTGATTAGCAATAAGCTCAAACTCAGAATTGGGTTGCAAATTCAACTCATGCAAGATTGTTTTACCTTATCATTCTGGAAGCTATCCACTAGTCTAGAGAATGCAAGACAGCAACTTTCTACACTCTTCTTATCCTGAACATAAGATGAAGAATCAAACAACATCATTAATAATCATACTCTGAATTAATATCATCATGACTAATATTAGGATTTAACAGTGTACTTACTGGTAGCCCATAGTAAAACCCTTTCTTACCCTGCACTGTCTCACCTGTATCTGTAGTCTTGTGCTTAGGATTTCAATAGCATTAGCAATATAATGAAAGTCATCTGGACCAACACTAGCACAGCAGTTGGAAGCAATCGCCAGAGCTGACCTCTGTAAGATATACATGATATATTTATAGTGTACTCTATTCCTTAAGACTCTTTAATATATTCTGTCAAGTATTAAAATATCGCTGTAGTATAAACAAACCTGTGCACTTATTGAGAAAAAGTCCAGAAAAAGAAGACAGGTTGACATACCACCCTAGCGAGTAACAGAAAAACTCTATTAAATGCATTACAAGAGAATAAATGAATGGATGGATACCATGGTAGGAATAGAAAGACAGTTGAATTAATGGGAAAATGGATGAATGGATGGACAGTTGAATGAATAAATGGGAAAAAAGGGTGGATGGGTGGATGGTAAGGATGGACAGATGAATGAATAAATGAATGAATGGAAAAATGTATGGATCAGGGCTTCTGACAGGATGCACGGGTGCGGACCCGCATAATTCGCTTTTTTCCACACAATCGAACGATTTCTGCATAATCCGGCAAAATCCCGCATAATTCGTCAAAAACCTAAAGAAAATAATCAAGAAGAAATGTATTATAATGTTTTCTTATATTGATGAAATTACGAATTGTTTATAGTTTACTTACCAAATTTCAAGCAATAAACAGCGTTTAAAACTGTATATCGAATCATACGCCATCGTGTAATGAAAAGGAACAAGGCGTTCTTAGTTTAAAATCGTGAAAAAGCCTGGTAACTAGCCTTAAATAAAAGGTACTCTCTGATTGGCTAGGAGTCAAACAATAGCAGCCATAGATAGCAAATGATAGTTCTGGTTAAATGCATGTATTCGCAGACAAGATTTTCGCTCGTAAAATAATATTTCTCTAGTAAACATTTGAGATCTAGTGACTTCTAAAATATCTCAAAATGGATAAATTTATTATGGAGCCGTCAAAAATGGGAAAAAAGAGAAGAAATTAACACGACTTAAATTATGCTATTTAAGGATTTTTGATTTTGTGGAGCGAGTTAATTTCCTATAATAAGGCGTACATAATAGATAATCTATTAACTACAAATATGCGAACGATTGTTGTGCAAGGTGAGGTGAGGTGGTAAATAATGTCGAGATTTTTTGTTAAGCTTCAAAAACGGATCATAAATTTAAGGTTTAGAAAAAAAACATTCAAAGCAATGTTTTGGAGAGAAGCATATCCAGAAGAATTGTGTGTAGTGCGAAAAACATGACGATTACACGTGTGGATTAAAAACCTGAGATAAACAAGGCCAGTGTCAAATAAAGAAGCAAAATCAAGGTAAAACTGTTAATATTATTGCATAAAACTTCAGTTAAACAAAGTCTGGAGTTAAATAAAGAAGCAAAATTAAAAAAAAAAACTTGTATAATCCTGTAAAAAAAATTCAGAAATTTTTTCGAATGTAACGTCATCCCGCATCCTATTCTGCATAATTTGCCTTTTTCTCTGCATAATCCGGAAAAAAATCCTGCATAATTTCAATTTTTTTCCCGCATCCTGTCAGAAGCCCTGATGGATGGATGGACAGATGAATAAATGAATGGCAAAATGGGTGGAGGGATGGTAAGGATGGACAGATGAATGAATGAATGGAAAAATGGGATGGATGGATGGATGAATGGGATTTATGGATATGCATAAATATGAATAAATTTGATATGTGATATGTGATACTTACAGCTTGTAGAATAGCTTTTCCATGTCTTTTAGAAAGCATATCCAGTGCTGTTAGAGACTGTTCTGCTACATCCATACACTCTATTGATTGAAGCTAAAAAGAAGACAGAAGTCATTTTAAATCACTCTAAAACAAAATAATTCTTTCTTGAATACCTGTAGCCTCTCCAAAGTCAGTCCCTACAGATTAGCCGTATTTTTTTCATTTTTTTTCTTTAATTACCAAAGTCCATGACATGATTATCTTTTTGGGTTGTTACTAGCTCACCTTTTCCAAGAAAGCTGGTATTGCTTCTACAACAACCATTGTAGACCTTGGTAGACTCTCCATAAGATAAGTCAGTGCACGACAGGCATGATTTACCTGAAATATTAAATTTTGAACTAAGAATTAATAACCTGCTACAACTTATCATAATTTTATCAAAACAATATACTAACAGTCATAAAAGTTGATAACCATGATCTACTTACCAATTCAAATTTTTGTTCCTTGTTGAGTAAATTAATCTAAAAGTTACCAAAAAGTAGGATGTTTAGAACCAGAGGCAGATATATCACAATGAGTGAGAAGACTGGAGAGAATAATTACTTACCAGTGCTGGCACAGCTTGCTTGACGGGAAACCCAGCAAGACTCTCCTCATTACCCATCACAAGTAACTAAGGCCAACAAACAAAACATATATAACTATATAAGTCGCAGTTAAATTGTTCAAGATAAGTGTTATTCTATTCACTTTATGTACCTGACACATCTCTATCACTGCTTGCAACTGCTGTCCTTCATCTGATGATTGGATTCCTTGAAGTAGTTGCTGTGCTTTACTATCTGCAGCAGTAGTTAGGATAAGGGGGGAATATATCGAAATGATTCAAAAACACCAAAAACTTATTAGTTAAAAACTTAGAAGTTTGAAACTTGCAACTTACAAACATGTTCTGGAATATTCACATAAATATGCAAATTAGGAGTTTTCATACTTATTTCTAGATATGAGTTAGCCACTTCTCTCACATATCAAGCTTCTCTCAAAATTTCCTGATTTTCATAGGTTAGTATAAATATTTAGTACATTTGTCTTTAATCTAGTTTTGGGAGTTTTTTAAAAAGCAAAAGAATATGATTTACTGCTAAGAAATTGATATCCACCAAGACCTGCTTTGTCATGATGATGATTACCTACAGCAATAATTATAACAGATAAGATACAGTACAGCCCAGATGTATGTCACGGTGTCCACGTGTGTAACACGAGTGTACTCCGTTAACGGAGTACACTCATACTAGTGTAGTCCGGGCTTTGAGACATGGACGCACTACACGCGTTTGAGTGTTGTACAGGCCCGCAAATGATCCCAGGACCGCAAATGATCCCGGGACTGCAAATGATCCCCGAATAGGACCGCAAATAATCCCGGACCGCAAATGATCCCGATACTGGATTGCAAATGATCGCGCAATAATATGCGGAATGGTTTGGATTGGGGGAATCCTATAAATACTTTTACCTATGTATTTTCAACTTAGACTCAAATAGTATTTAGAATAATATGATCTTCATTTTTAATTCTGATTATTACTTTTTCTTTTCTCTATCCTTTTTAAAGTCTTTTTCCGTTTTTTTATTGTCATCATCCCCAGCAAATCCTCTTGAAATTATTAAAACTAAGAGCAAAACAGTCGCAAGTATTCGAACCATGTTGACACTGACAGTTCGTAGCACTGCAAGCATGTCAACAAAGGAAGCCCAAGCAATGCGATTTTTTATCATAGAATTGAAGAGATTTTAAACATGTTAAATGTATACAGATACATAATAATTTATTGCTTCGAAATATATTCACATATATACATCTGGAAAGTTGTGATACAGCTTGCATACAACCCATATTTCATTATTATTATCTTCCCGTTTTTTAAATGAACAAAAGAACTGTACATGTTTGTCACAATAATTATCCATGTTGAGGATTCCCCCACTCCAAACCATTCCGCATATTATTATGCGATCATTTGCGATCCAGTATCAGGATCATTTGCGGTCTGGGATCATTTGCGGTCCTATTCGGGGATCATTTGCGGTCCCAGGATCATTTGCGGTCCTGGGATCATTTGCGGGCCTGTACAGTGTAATATTCTTTTGTTATGGTAGTCTTTGTTTCATAACAAAGACCATAGAAATTCCGTATAAATATCATTTATATTCCACGCGTATGCGTGTATTCTGTTCAACTGGATTTATAATCCAAACGATTTCAAATCAGAGACATACAATTTGTATTGTTCAACTGGATAAGAGAAACTCAAACGATTTTTCAAATTTTTTCTTTGAAAACGAAAACCTCTAATGTTTGATCAAACAAAGAAATATTAAAGAAACGCGTAAATTTAAAAAGTTCTGTATTCTTTCATGCATCTACGCATCAGGTAAAGTATTTCGCGTGCACGCTGGAATGCAACCGAAATAGTCTGCATTTTAATTATCCTGTCCATTTTATTTAAGAAATTTGTCTTTATTTAGATAATTGAGACCGAAGAACAACTGCTTTATTGTTTATCGGATAGTTCTCATAAGTCATATACGTATCTTAGCATCCAAGAATTACTCTTTTATTTGGTCGTCGGACGTAGCTGTCTGAAGTTCTGTGCATGTGAGAATTGCAACTTAGTCCAGGCAGGTAGTCCGGGTAAAGATGAATGAGTATTTTTCGATTCTAGGATTCAGATCATCAAAACTAAAAAATAATTAATTAGTAGAATCAGGTTGCCTCAAATTTCTATATGAATACTTTTTTTCGAGTTTCTATTCAAACACTCGTCTTAAAAATAAATTCCAAACGTTTACAGTTTGATTATTGAACTGGCGCCAACGCATATCACGGCATATCACGTGACATACATCTGGGCTGTATTGTATATCATTCTTACTAGAACTGTTACTGCTGGCTCTGTGTAGCAGTTGATGCATCCTTGGTCCAAGAGAACCAAACAGGTGTGGTGGTACTCCACGTGCCTCTAACAGACCTGCACAACAATACTATGTTAGTAATCTGACATCAACCTCCTTGACCTGATAAGGTTGCCATGTTTTACGCAGCTTCCTCTGCATCTATACTCTAAAGTAAACAGGATCAACAACTATCACTAATGTAATATTGTAAAATAAGATTTTTACTTTGTAGTCTGGACATGTCACTATCTTTCAATTCATTATCATCTGAATGAGAATTGGCACTTCCATCATTTCTTTCTGCTACACCTATGATGAATATAATTTAATTATAATTTTGAAATTCAAGTATAACTTATTTTAAAATTTATTATATTATTCTATAGATCAAAGTAAAATGAAAAAATAAGATAGAAATTACTTCATTTAATAAAGAGCATCAAACATAATGATTATTGGAAAAGCCCATAAGTTTTTATGATCAATGCATGGTTATAGGTATACTTACTACTGGATGACTGGCCTGCTTCATTAAGGCGTGGTTGACCTAAAATGAAAAGATGCCACTGTCAATTATATTCTTAGATTAGCAATATTTTCAACAGAAGCTGATGAATTTCCTTTCCATGTACAACAATCTCAACACAAAACCCTGGACCACTTGGGCACTTATCCAACAGCATGGCTGGTTGAAATGTTTCTGTTTAAAGTTTACCTGCTGATGCTCCTTGTTCTGACAACCCACTGAGAAAAAATATAGATACAGACAAAATGTTAGAACACAGCCTTTGGTCCATCCTGTGATGGCATTTATACATGTCAGGAGTCATAGCAATACAGGTAGAGTATTTTTCCCCTGGGAAACAGAATTCATTTTCATGTATAAAACTATAAAACCAGATTAGTCAGACCAGATTCAGTTGCTCTTGGCTCCTGTCATGGCTGTTGTCATGTGATTCAAAGCCTTAGTATAAAATAGTTTCATTTCTGTTATTTATTTAAAGCAGGGCTTGAAATAACGGCCAGACACGTGCAAGTCAAGATGACCTTTCAAATACATTTTTGGCCGGTCATCACTGGTTTTTGAAAGGTCAAAAATTGTTAATAATTAAAACAATAGTAATTTTCTTTGAATCAATAGTTTTTCCCGTGGAGAGATCAGCAAACAAGTCAGCATGGCACTGCCTGCTCACTTTCGTGACGGACATCAATTTCATATCACATCTCTATGCCGCTTTGAACAGTAACTTACAATCGGCTTATTAATTTTAACCCTAAAATTCACCATTGTTTTTAGAGTTTAACTGAGTGTCTTTTACCTTTAGACTTAGTTCATCCCATCATGCATTTTTGTTCCTAATGTGCATGTATTTGCTGCCTTTTCTGCAGCATAATTGGCATTTCTTGACATCAATTATTGACAATGAACTTGAACTGGTCCGTCAGCCATTTTGTTCTAGCTTTGTTTCAATGTAAGACCTCATTTTAATGCCAATGACCGGACAGACAATTAATATTCTTCTAGACTGCCCAGATATTTCTGAGGAATTTTACATGGCTTCTAATTTCAAAGAACATGGATATATAAAATTGCTATGCGTTGCTTACAACAGATTCACAGCTCTCACTCGACGATGCGTAATTGAATTGCTTAAGTATGCTAATAGTAGTGTACACATAGACATAAGAGAGAACAATCTATCAGACATTGATTTTATTGAAATAACACATATCCATGAAGATGCATAAACATGAATTAAAAACATTGACGAGTATGTTCATATGCTACCATATTAGTGAAACTAAGTTTACTCAAAGTTTTGTCAAAGAACACTAGTCGCATGAACTCTAGACTTAAAGATTTCAAAATAGCATTTGATTTTTTCAATCGAATATTTCATGTACTTTATTTCATCATTTTCAGCATCAATTAATCGAAATCATAGACGAATAGAAGAATTCATTCAAATATTCAGTGAAATCTGATTTTTTTCTGATTAGGATTTTCGTATATAATAGGCTACCATGTTTGTAAATTTAGTAATATAGTAGTGATTAAAAATCAAATACCCCATTTAATGGAGTGTTTAGGACAGTTCATATAGTCAGTTTGTCTTAACTGGGGCAGGGCAGAATTGAATAACCTTATTTCCATATTACCAAAACGTTTTATTCAATTGTCAGTTTACAATGTAAAATCAAGTAAAGCTCTGAGAAGTAAATTGGTTATGTATTATTTCGTCATTTTGATATTCATGTTACACATGGGTAATGGGTAATTTGCGTCGGACAGAACTTCGTCTTACAAAAGTATTTATAATCAAAAAATTCAAATTAAAAAAAATAGCACAAGTTTCACGCCAAGATGGTTTTCCGTGGTCATGTTTTGAAGTGTAATTGCAGATGGGATCCACATATCCAGCTATAAAAACATGATTTTATTGTCTCCGTCAGATTAAAACTGACACGTTATTACGGGAACCTCATTTTGAATGAGGTGATAATTAATGTGAACCTAATAGAATTATATCGTAATTAAAAGTCTGAAAGATATTTTTGCAGACAGACCGCCCATCAATCTAAAACCTTCATGGAATCATTCTAACCACAAAAAGGAAAGTTAGACATTTTCCCCCTCAAAAATTTGGAAGGTCAATTTGTCCTTTCAAAATCAGATTTGGCCAGACAGTAGCAAATTTGAAGGGACATTGTCCCTTGACCCGCCGTTATTTCGAGCCCTGATAAAGTACAACAAATTGCAAGGTCATTTTAACAAAAGAGTAAACAATAATGTATAACACCAGCAGGATCAATTAAATTAATGAAATGATAATTGAAATCAAGAGATTCACTTACTCTTCTGTTGACATGCTAGGCTGCTGTCGGCGGGTCCAGGTCCTCTTCTTCGTCTGTGAGCCACGCCGACTATTTTGATATAGAATATTGTTAATATCAAATTAGGAACATTTTATACAGTAATATTCAACTATTCTATAGTATAGATTCATTATTGTTGTCATGCACCATTACCTGCACCAACAATGTCATTGTCCACCAACATCACCTTAATCATCATCAATACCATCACTGTCATCATCCTCATCACCATTGTTTATCATTGTCATAGACATTTTCTAAGTTCAATAAACAGGATGCACTGTGGTCTAGCTTTGGTACAAGTAACGCCATGTAATATGGGATGATGAACAGAAGGCATTTGTACCGAAGCTAGACCATGATGCATCTGACAAAAGGTCTATTACATGGCTAGAGCTGTATTACCTGTTGCTAGCACAGGAACCCGTAGCTTCGGTAGTTCTTTGTGACCGCCTTGAGCCTTCTGGCTTAGGCGGGTCACCTCTATGACTTTGTGCAGATGATTGAGAGCCCCTAGAGCCCTCGGAAGTAGAGTGATTACCCAGATCTTTGCCTCGGTGAGCTCCTGAAGTGAGTGAAGCTCTCAGGAAATTAAGCTTGCTTGAAAGTCTTGAATCAGATGCAGACTTATGAGAGGAATCTGTCTTGGGAACTTTGGATTTGAAAGTAACTGTTGTATCTGATGATGTTGACGTTAAGTTATAAAATGGCAATGCGGATGCTGCTGCCACTGGTGAAGATGAATAACTAGTTAGTTTTGGCGCTTCCCGTTGTGTCTTTTTCAACTGTCTTGCTGACTTTTCAGTGCCTTTCTCTGTTCCTCTTGCACCTAGCGAAGGGCTAGAAGATGATTTCTTTGCAGCTAATGTCTTTGTGCTTTGGATTCTAGAAGAACTTTAAAAGCAAAATCTATGGTTAAAGCCAATATTAAAGCTCTAATAATTAAGGACTTCAAGAGACAAAAACAAGGCCGCCATGTTGGAGGCATTAAGAAAGAAAGCTATTGAAAAACCTACTATTGTTAATTACCACAATAATAAAATGGCCACAATGATATATCATGAAAATGAAGAATACTTATCATTCCCTGTGGTGTGATGCAAGGGTTATAGAATTGCAGTCTTGTGCCTATAATGATCCCTTTACCATATTTCTTTTTCACCCATTTTCAAACTTACTGAACCTATGAGGGTTACCTGAATGGCCGAATTTAAAGAAATTCCCTCAACTCAACAGCCATTTCAAAGTTGCTAGATAATATGGTTACGCTCAATTACTGATAATTTAGAAGAATTAAGTGTCAATAGTTCTTCCTGATTGGGAATAAAATAGACAACCTTGAAGATCATGCAGGTATGAAAACAAACTCATTTTTCAAACACATTTTCATAAACTTTTTAATATTCCAATTAATGTACATTTACCATTGGAATTAAAATACTTTGTCATTTCAGAGTGGGAATGGTTTTCTCTGATATAGTTGGTTGAGCAAGAATTTCTTTTGACTCAGACTGTGCTAACTTTGATTGACCACAGCCAAAACTCCAAACATCTGAAGCCATCTATGCCAGGTAATTTTGAAAATGGGTATAAAACCTAGGTGAACTATTCAACCTACCTCTGGGTGGTTGTAACTGAAGTAGTGCTTGATGATAAACAAACTCTTGGCCTCAAACTAACATAAATAATACACATGAAACATTAAAGCTCAACTCAGAAATCCTTCCGCACCAGCAGAATACATACATTAATCATTATGCATAATCATAATGCTTTAATCCAGAGTATAATACACTTACTTGTAGTGCGAAGATGATGATGTGATGCTTTGTGAACCAGCAGTGCTGGGAGAGGATTTTTTGGATCTAAACAAAAAAGAAAATAATAAAAAGTGCATTAAAGGCTTGTTATATAATTTTGGGCAGAGATTAAAAAACTGTCATTTTCAATCATGAATTCAGCACTACAACCCTATGCATTACATGATTTAATGAACTTCAAAAGTCCTGGTACATATGATGTCTTACTTCTTTTCCTCCACTTTGTATTCACCACTTAAATTAGTCTGTGACTTTCTCTTTGCTGGAAGTTTGCTGAAAACAGAAACAAAAAATTATCAAATTCAATAGTGAAAAGATAGAAAACGAGCTTGTGTGCTATGTTGAGTTATACAAGCACGCGGGAAATTGCGCGAGTCTGAGAGAAGTGCTAGGAGAAGCACGCAATTTCCCAAGTGCTTGTATAACACAACATAGCATGAGCAAGGGGAGTTTTCTATCTCTTTTATAAAATAACTAAGATATAACTAACGATTAACTCAAAAGAAATAATAAAATATTGCTTGCGTTGCTGACGTCATTTCCTCACGATCTATGTTGAGTTATATAAAACGGTAATTGACCAATCTCGTTATATCTTAGTTATTTCATAATGTATCTAATTGAACTGATCTGTGCAGTATATCAAGCAACTCATGCAGATGCTTATTATAAGACTCAGAGTCTTCAACAGGATTTGAACCTGTGCCCTGGCAATTCTGGTGCCATGCTCTAACCAATGAGCTACCAAGTCTCATATGAGACTTGCAAGGGCACATCATTATGTGGGTTTATCAAACCAATAGGATATAAATGTATATGAGAATATATATACATTATATAACTTATAATCATAGTTTCAAATCCCCCCCAAAAAACATTACAATTATGAAAAAACAGTGCTTGGAAGAAAATGAGCTACCATTTAAGATGAGTTTCTTAGGACTATTACCATGTATCATGTTTACCTAAATAGGGTATAACAACTACAAAATAAGCATTGATTTTGTCAGCTTTGGATGCTAACCTATGATTAAAAGCTAACAGTATATGATGTGTTGTGTAAGATCATACTAAGGTCTTACATTCTCTCAAAAATATCTAGGTACTTTAATCACTGGTAAATAAGAATTTGGATCTTCATCTTGTGAAAGATCGTCTGCTGTTTCATACACACTAATTCTAATTCTTTACATCATATTTAGAAACATAATTTAAACAATTCAATTGTAGCCTATTTTTCTTATGAACTTCTAAAAATATATCTGATGATTCAATTTTCAGTATCTCTTTTTTCATGTGTAACTCTACATTTCAATATCTATTGCTCCAAAGATCATCTTACAGTAGTCAACCTTCAAACCCACAAAACAAGAGTGGTGTTTGAGCTTTTTCTTTACTCCACTATTACAATAAACTTTTTCAAGAGCCTTTTACGTGTTCAAAAAATTATTCAGGCATGTGTCATTAAAAATGACAATTTTTCCATTAAATGCAAAATAGTTTCTTATGATTATAAATGTTAGATTATATTGTTTTCTTTATTTAGTTCTGTAAGTAATAGTGAAATAAATAAAAAAGATTAAGGTGTTGAGAGTATGAACATGTCTGGTGGGCACAAAACTTTATTTTCCAATAGAAATGTTTAAAGTTGTAAAATGGCGTAGTGTATATGAAGCACACAAGAATGCTAAAAAATCAAAGATTTTTTGCTTATTAGATAAAGATACAAAGTTGAACTTCATAAAACAACATCTAAAAGTTTTTCTCTGTTAATTGGGAGAAAATTGATAGCCTTGTTATAAAGAAATTCGTCTTTAAGAAAACCACGTTGGATCAAATAAAGCAGATCCCATGTCTAGTCAAGTTGCCCAGCCATGTTTTGACTTGAGTCGGTTTTTTATACACAAAAATGTTAAAAAACGAGAATATATGAACCTTGAATAAGAATAGTTCCTCAATATGTATAGAAAGCCTGTATTATGAGAAAATAAGTCGAGGAAAGTATAGATTGTATAAGTAAAGTAGAGCAAACATGGCGAGCTGTGACGCGACGAAAAATGTTATCTCCTCTGTGAGCTGAAGACTTTCGCTTGCAGTCATTAAGGCGGCAATTGAAGGACGAATATTGAGAAGAAAGAAAACGAAATCTTTCATTGATAACATACTTAGTTAGCTAAAAGGTTTTTGGAGGACATATTGAACTAGAGAGACAACAATACAAACCTTTTTGAACGAAAAACTGTCCCCCCTTGTTCCCCTTCCACAGAGCTCTCGGCCATCAAAGCATCGCGACCCTGTCGTAAAAGGGGTCGCAATTTGTTTGAACGGACAGAGTTACCAAGGAAGAAGGGAAGTAGTGTTTAATGGACGACGTTTTGTGTCGTGATGTAGGTTTTTTGTGTAAACGAGAATAAGAGTAATGGTTATTTACAAGGCAACACACGACCACTGCTGCCTCTGCTTCCTGTGAAACAACAACCAATCAGCACGGTGCTTATACGACTGCGCACTTTAGCACCACGACTATAACACCCCCTTAAAAACCTGCTTCTCGACCAAACTCCCCTACTTCCTGATTAATTATAACTAATTATCCATTACTATAATTTGTCTCATTAATTTAAGGATTGAAACAAAAATCGTTTATCAAAATATTTGAAGTTATTAAAAAGAACTGTTATTTTTTTCAAGCGTGTTTTTTCATAATTAAATTTTTATCCTTTGTCACATATATATATTTTTTTAGTAAACATGATATTTTACATTGAATTGGGCTCCCTGTGGTGTTTAAAAAAAAAAAACAATTTCCAAAACATGCAGTGAAACATTATCTTTGATGCAGTAAGAACTCCTTATCTTGCTATTGTCAACTCTTTGTATTGGTTTGCTCCAGTCTTAATCACAATATAATAAACCACCCCCCAAAGACACACGCCCACAAACTCCTATTTAACCTCTGGATATACCTCATCTATGCCATAAAGGACGACACACTTAGGCTAGTCAGCTAAAAGAATTACCAATCCCTAATAAATGAGGAATATATGGGTCTGTGGTTAAGGATACAGGGGAAGGTCAAAGGAAAAAAAATTATACTTAACCAACAATATATTCTAGTCTTATTGGATTCATCCAATTCCATAATGCCAGAATATTTAAGTCTTACTTAAATATCTGCCATAAATAAAGGGCAAGGATGAGTCCCGTTGGTGTTATATTACTGCGAACAAAAATAATGTTTTTAATAAAAAGACCACTATAGTGCCATAACAATAGTTTATTTGTAGTGCAATAGATTGCTGCCCAATATTGCAAGATAATGGATCACCAATTGACTAAAAATACGGGAATATGGCTTGGAGGAATTATTTGTGAGGTAATAATAAAATGCTCTAGATCTAGTAAGTCTAAATATTGACTATTGCATAACCAGTGTCCCTGGCACTTCCCTGACATTCATGCTAAATATAAATAGGATGTTTTTTGTTTAATTTGGAGGGGGGAGGTATATAATAATCATTGCCTTCAATGTTCTACTTCTATCCTATGTGATTCTGAAAATTAAATCTCGTAGTGTCGTTGTCACATGCCAATCATGTAACTAATTACAGGGTGCCTTTTGAGTTATACATACACACGTGCATACATGCACTTCATTAGAGAATAAAGTAAACCAGAGACCAGAGATGCGGTGTGTGTTTCTTTTTCATCCAACAACATTATAAATCTGTACCCAGGTAGTTGGTTCTCATTATCTTAGATTGACAGATATTATACCTACTGCAATCAGCCAAATAAGCCTTCTACATAAATACAAAAAGTAAAACAAACTTTTTTTTCTTATTTTCAAATCTCAAATCTGCTAGTTTTATTTTTATTGCAGTTAGTTTCATATCACTTTTCAACATCGGATTACAAACTATGTTCGGAAATTGCGCAGCTGGCAACAATCTTCAGAACTTTGAAACAAAGTTTGTTACAAACTTTTGAGTTTTGTGAAGACTGGGAAAGTAGAACCAAGTCATGGTGGAAATAGGAATCACAATATTTCAAGTAACGTAAGCAAACATTGGGGGGGGTACTCCGCCAGAATTTGGGTAGGGGTGTTCCGCTGGGATTCTGAAAGTGGTGCCCTGTTTATGACAAAAAAAACGCAAATTTGTAGACCCTGTTTATGACAAAAGA